CCCTCCGCAGACCCAGAGGTTCCAAACGATCCGTGAGAATGTGGGCTCTATGCTCGTCTGCATACAAGTAACAAGTCTAGGTATATTATTATTATTATTATTATTATTAATACTTTATTTCAGTTTTTTTTTAAAACCATAACATTTTGTTAGTAGTAATTACTTGTATCTATGTTAGTGACTTAAAAAATCTAACACATAACTATCATTATATATATACATTTTATACCATTACATTTTTTATTTTATTTTTTCTCCTTCCAAGTGCCTACTGCAAAGGCTATTGATCAGCAGTCCCTCGATCTTGCTCGATATGATTTTCAAAAGACTGTTGCCACATAAGTGGCATAAAATAACAGGCATAATATAAGTGGCTACATCTAGTTCTGTGTTATTTGTTTGTTTCTCTTAAAAATTCACTTGTGGTTATTTTGCTGGATTATAAGCTTTCTGTTTCCTATTTGTTATATTCTGTTATGTTGATCTGAGCTGCTGACCTTCTTTGAAATACATAAGTAACAATATAAACATATCTAAATTGCTTGTCATTTAACTACCAGCCCACTTCAGTGTAAGCCGTTAGTCACTTTGAGGCGTGAAATCAAAGTAAGTATTTTATTGTAGGGTGACTGTTTCACTCTTCAAATTGGTACAGAAAATTTATTCGCGGCAGAAATAGACAAAATGGTAATAATACTTACTCGTGTGGGCCATACCATACCATAAATCCTACCACCAGTTAGTATTGAAACTGGATTTCCGGATACATTGAACTAAAAGATCAAATTTTGTCAAACGCAGTCCGGATCTCGTGACGGGAGACAACCATGTTTGCTTTCCATGGCTGGTTTATAAAAAAATACTAAAATCACAAGTGCTTATAAGTATCTGCTTAATTAAAGTTTGCTTTCCAAAATAAGAAAAGGGGAAGACAGGTTAAAAGGCTGATAAGAAGAATAGGTCAGAACGGAAACGTCTGGATTAGGTCTACGTGTGAAGACAAAGTTTTGACTGAAATCTATTGTCGTAGAATTTAAGTTAATAAGTACATTGTCGTTTGGGCTTCCCAAATGGATGTACGTACCCAATTGACGTACTGTTGTAATGTTAAAGTATACTAACGAAACTAATAATGTTGCCAATTGGATTATTTAACATAACGTCGTTGTCAAACCAAAATCTGCTATGTGCACTTTTTGAGATTTTTACTATTTAACCTTTTCGTATATAGTTCACAGCCCTATCTACCGTTTAAAAAAAACTCTTAGGTGTCTATAGCTTTAATATTTATCTATAGCTTTCATTTGATATAGTTCTTAAAAATTCACGTTCATAAAAAAAATTATACAAAAATTATTGCACATAGCAGATTTTGGTTTGACAGCGACGATAAAGTTTTTTTTTAGGTCCAGTTAATTGAACTAACATCATGCTGTGTGGCAGCCCAGAGCTTCACGTGTCTCGAGTTATCTTCCTGGGCCAGTAGGAAGCTGTCCGCCAGGGACTTGGATAGTCCTTCCGCGTCTCTCGTACTCATTTTGACGGCCAGACCCGCGATCAGTGCTTGAATCATAGCCAGTATTATCAAGACTATTCGCATCTGAAAAATAGAGGGTTATCGATACCGATATTTTCTCTGGTGGTAGGACCTCTTGTGCATTCGCACGGGTAGGTACCACCACCCCGCATATTTCTGCCGTGAAGCAGTAATGCGTTTCGGTTTGAAGGGTGGGGTAGCCATTGTAACTATACTGAGACCTTAGAACTTATATCTCAAGGTGGGTGGCACATTTACGTTGTAGATGGTCTATGGGCTCCAGTAACCACTTACCACCAGGTGGGCTGTGAGCTCGTCCACCAAACTAAAAAAAAAGCCGATAAAGTGGCCGGTTCCAAATTCGTTAGTTACAGAATTATTAAAATTTATTTATTTGCATAGGCGTGGCCAAAATCTCTGTAGTACTAGAAAGTGACTTGTAAAAATATGATTGTTTAGTGGCAGACCTGGACGGGACCGGAATGCAAATCCAACCTTTAATATACAGTAGTATCATATGAAGTACGACCGTTGGGGGTAATTTGTGGTAAGTAGCGGAGATATTAAATCCGATCTGAAGGAAGTTAGGTAGGAAAAATAGGGTACGAAAATTGGCGTTGAGGGCCGATGATTGGGATACATCAATGGCTCGAGAAAGTCGGGTGCGGATTTCTGAGTCCCCTAATCCTACCACTTTAAAGACATTTCATGTACGGTCACCGGATTGGTCGCCTTGTTCTTGACTGACCACTACGTTACAATGTCTAATGTCCGCTGGAGCAAGATCTTTGTGAAAGGGTTTTTTATATTGCCCTTTTTGAGCAGACGAGCATTTTTTTTTATCCTTAGATGGGCGGACAAGCTCACAGCTCACCTGGTGTTAAGTGGTCACTGGAGCCCATAGACGTCTACAACGTAAATGCGCCACTCACCTTGAGATATACGTTCTAAGGTCTCAAGTATAGTTACGACGGCTGCCCCACTCTTCAAACCGAAACGCATTACTGCTTCACGGCAGAAATAGGCAAGGTGGTGGTACCTACCCGCGCAGACTCACAAGAGCTCCTACCACCAATAATTACGCAAATTATAATTTTGCGGATTTGATTTTTATTACACGACGTTATTCCTTCACCGTGAAAGTCAATTGTGAGCAAATTGGAATTGAAATTGGCATCATGGAAGTCAGCAATGCCAAGAGGAAAGCCAAACCGCTTATTTAAACCATCGTTTGACTGCAATTCTTTTACAGCGTCAGGCGGAAATAGGCAGAAAGCGTCTACCCCATTCAATAATCTACAAAAGGAACGTTAAACGAAGAAAAAAAAACAATTACATTTCCATACAAATAAGCCCTTCAGAAAGCCCTTCAATTATAATGGAATAGTTCGCGTGAAATGCCAACCAAGTTCAATTGAGAACTTGAAATACATTAGCTCCAAGGACACGACCGACGAGGTGGAAACCCTCACATCAGATAAGTACGTACATAAGTGTTTAGGGTTGCCATCAACGTACTTATTCTTGAGGCTTAGGTTGGTCAATACGAATTCTATTAAACAGATTCATTCTAAAAGGAAATACTTGGAATCTTTGAATATTAGCTAAAGGTAGCACCGGTAAAAAAAAATCCACACTAAGTCACCATCGATTCAACGAAAATCGGTAACGCTCACAGCATAACCCTAAAAAGGAATTGCATTCTTAAATTTTAATATAGTCATGTTATCAAAGAATTTACGACTTATTGTTAATACAAAACTATGCTATTAAAATTACACAAAAAACAATATCGTTACCTCAATACCGCATATGTGGCTTGAGTATTTTAATATGCTTTTATTAGCTTCAGACGTATTTAAGTTAGTATGTAACGGAATCTTTGAACATGATTTTGACCCCCTTCAAAACGTCGAATTAACTCGGCATACTTATTAAGGACCGATGACAATTCAATGTTAAAAAAACAGTAAATTTTTTTTTAGAAAATATTGAAATTCAACTAAAAATTGAAAAATAAATAATAGTTTAAAAAAATACTAACAAAATACGCTTTTATTATTGGTATCAGTATGTATGGTATCAGTAGTTATAAATATTTTATAAACATATATGAGTAGAAGGGTTATTTTGATAATATCCTGAAAAGCAGCTTTTTTTACAATAAAATTTTTTTTTCTTACACAATTTTTAATTCAAATTTATTAACATTTATTTTCTATTTTTTAGTTGGATTTTCTATAAAAGCGTATTTTGCTAGTTTATTTAAACTATAATATTATTTATTTAATATCATTTTTATTGCACTAGACGGTCGAACAAGCTCACGGCCCACTGTTAAAGGATTGTCGGAGCTCGTGGACATCAACGAGAATGCCGCCACCCATACGCAAATAAATAAATAAATAAATATATATTTACAAAATAGTAAGAATGTCCTTATTTGCTAGCCGATTCGCAGCAGAAAGAAACTAGATAGACTACACTAAGTTCATAATACGCCATAGGCATGTTCCTTGATGTCCGTCTGGGCTCCTAAGACCACTGTAGGTAGGCCGAGTTTCAGGACTGACGTTGATGCAATCGTTGAGAGGTAAGTAGTCGTAAATAAAGTATAAAATGGTTTACCGTGTGCAATGGTTTGCTTCGCTTTTTGAATACGCCGACGTTAGAGTAGATGAGCATGGATATTGTGATGGCAGCGGTAACGGCAAGCACAACCATGCCGACCAGCCGGCTTGATTGCTCCACATCGTATATCTTCGTCGCTAGGGATGTCACTACCGTGATCACGATCAGCGTTAGGGCTGTGAGCTGTAAAAAATAATGCAAGGTCTTGTACGTGTACTCTAATATCGTTTATTTCGTTTTCCAAGGGAAGCGTCCAGGAGTCCATGTTATTGTGAATGGTCATCGATGCCAAGGACACAGTTAATCCACTGCTTCTAAGTGAAGACTAGAAGAAGAACATGCCCGTTCCGGGAACACTAAAAAGAGATGTTGATGAGTTAAACAAGTTCCAAGTGCCTTCGATGGCGGGTAGTGCCATTGTAAATAGAGAAGACAGGATCAATTCAAACAATACCAGAGAGCACTCAAATAAAAACATAGAAATATCAAATGAGTCAAAATATAAAATATGTGTTTTTTCCAAAAAAACACGTGTGGCACTCAAAGCCGGCAATAGAAGCTATGCAATAGCTTAAAAGTTGAGAAAAAAAATCTTACCATGGTGAAAGTGCTGATCGTCACGAAGGTAATCTTCCTGCATAAGTGGACGCTCGGTTTCTTTATCCGGAGCTTCCGTTTTCGGGAGCTCTCAACAGGGGAACCATCTTTCGGCAGCTCCAAGCTTACTTCCGAACCTCCAACTGGAGACGAAATGCACTTAATTATACAACCAAATACTTCATAACACACAATTGCAAACATTCAAATTTTTTTCTGTAATCTGACGAAGCATGTTGCGGATAATAACATGTACTTTTAGGTTAGGAATATTGTGTTCTTTTTTTTATAATAAATAAATTCAAATTTTATGTCAATGTCATAATAGTTATAATCATAGTCAATGCGACCAGTGGCTCATACATATAATAGAATTGAAATTGTTTATTTCATTTGAAGTTAAATTACGTTTATTACAATTACAATAATTATTATAGCACACTAATTAAACTACAACCGGTGCCTAAAAGCCTACAAGCAAAATTAAAATTTTTGCAGGTTTAACTTTTGTTACAGGATGTTATTCATTCATCTATCTATCTTCTATCTATATATATATATAAATGAATTGCTGTTCGTTAGTCTCGCTAAAACTCGAGAACGGCTGGAGCGATTTGGCTAATTTTGGTCTTGAATTATTCGTGAAAGTCCAGAAAAAGTTTAAAAGGTGAAAATAAATATAAAAAAGCTCGGAATTATTTAAAAAACAAACTATTTTGTTTTTCCTTTGATGTGACCCCTTGATGTGTCTTTTATTTATCGATTGAAGTACTACGAACTCTGCCGGGTCAATTAGTAACTATTAAAAAATATATTTTCTCATACCCAGTTCAGTGTTAACAAAAATTGCATAAGTGACTTTATAGCACCGTATTACTTATATACTTTTAAATATGTATTTTAGTATATATATATAAGTATAGATAATAAACATCCAGACAAAAAGCAAACATACTTATTCATCACACGAATGTTTGGCCGATGCGGAAATCGAACTCACGACCCTCGGCGCCACAGTCAGGAGCTCTTAACTACTGCACCACTGAGCCAGTCCTTTTAAATAAACGGTATTAATGAAAATTACCTTTAATATCCTTGAGTTCCCCCATATTCCCGTACTTTCTCGACGTTTCTCCGTAAATAAATCCGATCCCAGTTGAGTTAGCATATATACACATTGTCACAGTTTCAATGCAGCCACGGTTCGACGCTTGCATGCGAACAATGACGCTTTGATGTTTATTCAGCGTGGTTTATCGGTTGTTAGAGCGTGTATATCTTCAAGGCGTTCGTTTTGGACGTAGACAGATGGTAGTTGAACTGTTTTAAGACAAGATATTATATAGAGACAGTTTTATGGTCTTTTTTTTTTAATTGCTTTTAATTTTTAGACAGACCAAAGCAAGTAGAAATTACAAAGGGAATACCGCTGTCCCTCCTGAGATGAGAGATAGAAGGCTCAATTGGATTTCGATAAGGTGCCCGTGATTGATTTGCGATAGAAATCACTGATTTGGAACCCCTGGGTCTGCGGAGGGAATTCGCTTCACTCACCATCACGTGAGCCGTATGCTTGTCTGCCTACAAGGGCAATAAAAAAAAATAAAAAAAGGTAGGACAAAGAAGGATAATTTATAAGATTTTAAAAGTAAAACGTCAAAGCACATTCAATAGGAAAATTTTAAGCATCTAGGTAGCTTATTACCCAATTCAAGTTACCTCTTCCAACTTATATAAATACATTTCATTAAATTGTTGTCTATTATCTTCTATAAGCAACGCATCAAATAACGACTACCTTTTTACAGATTGCCTTCGGCTATCTCTGGCTCGTTCGATTACCTTTGATCCTCTGTAGCTAATACACGATTTGGTCAATTCTAATATCACCAAAAACGTCTTAAATAACACATAGTTCAACGAAAACTGACGCTTGTCATGCAAAAACGTGTGTCTCTTTATTTATCACAATTATCAGTACATGACGCGCTATGTCGATCGTGAGACAAATAATAATTGCAGTTTATTTTGCGTTTAGTACATTTCCGGCTTAAGTGCGGTCCGCTCAAGGGAAATGCAACTGAAACATCGGCTATTTCTTTAATCGATCATATATTTTAGAATCGATCGCCAGTCGTTTTGGAGTAGCTTTGTTTTGTTTTGTACGTATGTGATGCGAGCAGCTTCATTAGATGAAGATTTTTTATTCCACAGGAGAAAATCGCCGTATCCTCATCCGCGCGGCAGATGGGGTATGTGGGAGTTGAACCTCACTAAAAACTCCTGCCGCTCACAGCCGGCGGCCTACCCCAGACCGGACCGGAGCCCAGTCGGGGCTATTGAAACGGCGGGACAGGGTTGACGCAGAGCATATTACATCCATCCCACCGAGATGGAGAGGATAGCAGAAGGACATAAAAGACACTTGTGAATCATAATGACCCAGTACGGTCATATAAGACTGACAATGCCGGATAGCCTCAACGTAGCGGCATTAACATTATGATGCGCATGGGCTTTGTTGTTCTAGAATAGAGACCACACACCGGTGAGCGCAGTGTCGGACGTCCCCCTGCTCGGTAGACTGATGACTTGCGGCGCTATCCGAAAAGGATTGAATGGGGAAGACGGAGAACTGTTCATTGTGGCGGACTATGGGAGAGGCCTATCCGACAGTGCAGAGATACAGGCTGATGATGATGGGCTTTGATGACCACATCAGTTGCGCCGTGAGCTCCTGCAGATATCCATGAAATAACTGGGGAGGTAGTTGTGGCTGCTTTAAGAGATCACGCTTGTATAGATCCAAGGTCTAGTCGTTTATATAAGACAACGAAAATGTAACTATAAGTACATATATCAGTGCCCAGAGACAGAGTGAGATTTTGAAAATCAGACGCATTAGTAACATGTAATTTAACTTATTAATGTGATTTTAAAATATAGCGCTATGTCAGAGAGAGGTTCTCCTGATTATATCGCGGTATATCCATGTTTTGTATTATTGTTGTTTGAAATTACTTTTTTAAATCACTTCTTACAATTAATGTGATTGTTTCTGCTTCGATTAAGAAATGAATTGTACATAAGCAATGGAATTCTCTCTAAAGCGTCGTGATACAATGCAAGAAAAATACAACGTAAACATGTATTCTCCTTACAAATGTCAAAATAAAAACTGGCTAATTTATAGCTGTGACGTTTCGATGTTTGCTCAACAAATCTATATATATATATATAAATGAATTGCTGTTCGTTAGTCTCGCTGAAACTCGAGAACGGCTGGACCGATTTGGCTAATTTTGGTCTTGAATTATTTGTGGAAGTTCAAAGAAGGTTTAAAAGGTAGATAAATATGAAAATGCTCTTAATTAAATAAAAATAACAATTTTCGTTTTCCCTTTGATGTGTCCCCCGTCGGACGGATTCCTTTTGTTTGTTTTAAGTTTATTTTATACAAAAGCTTAGGTCGTTTAGTTATCGATTTAGGCACTACGAAGTCTGCCGGGTCAGCTAGTAATTTATAAATTATAAACGATGCAGTGAATGAAGTATTTATAGATTATCGAAATTAGCTGCCTCATATAACAACAATAGTTTACGATATATTAAATTCTAAGACGGCACGAATATTGCTAACAATTTACCACCCTCACCAGAGCTATAGGTATAACGTCTTTAGACCTGGTACAATCGCAAGAAAAAGTATTATAATGAAGCATGAATTTTAAATTTAATGTTCAAAAGTAACTCATTAATATGAACATTAAAAACTGAATTAATACTCAATTATACTATTATTATTGATAGCCATTTTATTTGAATTTCCTTTGCTAATGTAATGTGAATTGCTTTGCTTTGGGGCTGTACTATTTTCACTAGAAATTCCAACAAGTTCAATATGATATTATTTATTGTCTTTAATAAATAATGGTAACAAGTTAAATTCTATCATTAGGCAATCATTAGACAACATTCAATTAGTCATCTCACTGGTTTAGCAGTTCACAATCAGGCACGTATAGAAAAATACTGTCCGCGACCGTGCCGCGTTTATTCTCGGCAGATTCTACCCCGTGATCTGTAAGTGAAGTAAAATGTCCCTTTGGAACAAGTTAATACTTTACAAAACTTGCACAAGGCTTGTCATGACAAACGAGTGTGGTGTTTCGCTCACGCGGCAATCGATCTGAGAACACATGAAGTCAGCGTCGGAACGTTACTTCGATAAGCCTATGCGTCATGATAATCGCCATAACGTTACCGCCGTTGACTACTCCCCGAAACCTGATCACGCAGAAGCCAATCACCGTCGATGCCCTAGAGACGTCCTTACGGATCCATCAGATCCAATAACTCTTACATTAGACGCCTTTATCGCCAACACTAAGAGCAGGCTTAGGGACTGCGGTAACCGTACTCGTCGAACTCGGCAAAGAGTTCGACGTGCAACCTAACCCATACATCAGCCCGCTGAGTTGCGCACTGGATCTTCTCGGCAGGTCGCGTTTCCGGTCTGGTAGTAGATTCATTCGCGAAGCAGCTGCTCTCGGTTCGTTAGGTCTCCTTCGGAGGCGCTCGGGCAGCTATTAGCTAATCCCACCACTCCTGGCTGAGCCTTTTCTCGCCCACCTGTTCTGGTAAAACTGGAAAGGCCTCCGGTGATACTTAAATCATAAAAAAAACGAAAATGTGGTGTCGTGGGACACCAGGTAGGAACGAAGTTCCTTCGGCTAATGTAGAATCGATATAATTTGCAAAAAAAAATCGTGCTCAATTTTATGTTGGTTTTCTTGATTTTTCTCTTAAATTTTGCTGATTAGTTTTTATTTAAGTACAGGAAAATATTTAGGAAATTCAGTATTTTAGGAAATAATAAATTACGTAAAATAAAAATAAAATCGTAATTCAAATTATCAATTAAAATAACAAAATATGTCTCTTTATTTTTGTTTGACAACATAAAATTACATAGAAATAGAAATAATTACAAAATAGAGAGAGAAGGGATGAGAGAACGAAAAAAAGAGGGAGAAAGAGAAAGGTATTATACACTACTCGCTTGTGTATACGACTGTCGCGCCTGCGCACGTCTCATTTAACGGTTTTATTCCACGCACTTTTTTCCACGGATTTTTTCCACGCACTTTTTTCCACGGATTTTTTCTTACGGTTTTACTATTACATTTTTTTCAGTTCGGTCGCGCAGCAAAATCCCTATCCCCGCCAAGCCTGCCGTAAGGAACTTCGTTCCAAAAATACTATTGATGATTAAAAAAAACACATTGATGTATCTGACTGTCCATTGGGTCAAAGCTATAAGCACGATACAGGGTGCCACTCATTACCGTCGCTAGGGCAACCGAGTCACAACACAGCACACAATGGTAGGTGGTCACCACCAAGGACTTGCAATTCTACGCGGCAGTACTGAAAGGGTTCGTGTATTTCCTAGTACTTTCGCAATCCAAGGTCGAGAGCTGTATTCTTGTCTTTCATACAATATGGAGTTTGATTTTTTAAACGAAATAAAATCGTTAGAAGTATGTGTAGACAAAGTAAATTTTTTTTTTGTTAGTTCAGACTCACACAAACAGACATTTTGTAATGTCATATGTGCCAATGTCAAGTTTGTATTAAATGAAGGTTCTCCGAATTTGGAAATATAATATAATACATTAATTTTTTTCATATGAGGGCTAAGCTGAAAATCGACACCTCCTACGTATAATATCGTAACTCTATTTTATCAACTTTACAGTATCGCAATTCAAAGTTATGCAAGCAGATTTTTGATGATAGTGAAGTCAAATCAGCTCATTTAAGAATCAAAATTGGCATACAGATATATTTTTAGGAACGGAATATTACTTCTAAAAAGGTTTTTTGAATTTTTTGCTAGAATTTCTTAAAAGTCACATACGGTTTTCTACTACGGAAAATATCAATGGTATTTCGTTGTATGTAGTACTTACTATACTTTACGTTGATATATATGTAGGATTAAGTAGGGTATGTTACACGTACGATAACTTACATTGGAACTTATCAAATAATAATGTGTCTTGGGTTACAGTTACCATAATATACAATGGAACAAAGACGTTCATAGCATAAGTACTGTCTCGAACTGCTCTGGGGTAGACCGGTGATATATAAAATAAAAGAGCGGACTGTATTATTTGGTAAGTTTATAAAAAAGTAAAACAAGATAAACAAGTAAGTGTCGCGGGCGGCGTTGCTGCACGAAGTGACGAAGCCGGTGTCCATCCGCTACCCCGCGCCGCTGTCCTCCTCCCGGCGCCCGCGCCGCGCGATCGTCAATGTCCGTGCATCGACAAGTACTATTAAGGGGAATAATTAAAATAAAATAATTATCTTCCATTATACTGAAATATAATGTATTTCGTAATCGAAACAGTCCAAATAAACATTCCCTGCAAGAAAATAATCTTAAAATATTAATCAATGGTATTGTTGTTTATTTTAATAGTATGTAGTATTAAATCAAATCTTTATATTATTACAAAGATTGTATTTATTGTTTTATTAATTTACGGATTGTCTAAATCAATTTGCTTTATCCAAAATAAATAGTATTTTGTTTTAAAAAATACACGTATTATTTAAAAAATGCAATGAAATACTTATATCTGAAATTTAAAATCAACGAAATAAAATCTCTCTCAAATTTAAAAACTTATACATATTATGAATTCTCTATTCATCCCTGCACTCCTTATCAACAAAATAACAATATCTTTTACTAACAAGAAAAAAATTTTTATTCATTACTTGAATATTCGTAAAAAATTCAATCAGTATTGCGCAGTCTCTAAAATAACATAGATTAAAATTTTCAGTACAAAAAATAAAAAGAAATTAATAAAAATTATGTGATATTAAAGAAAAATTACATTAATTATTAAAAAAATAGTCTGTATCTCAATC